ATAACTTTCACCCATTAAAATGCTGCAAGGCTTTAAAAAAAGAAGAAAGTAGAAGTTACTACACTCCCCCAGCCAAATAACACCAACGAAAAGCAGCCAAAATTTGGTTTACCTCTGTTTGTCAGAAAAAAAAAAAAATTGAAGTAATTTTGTATCTCACTAATATTACAGCTGGTGATTTATGACCAGGTATCTTCGTTCTTTTCTTGAGACTGCTCAGTCTCCAAGAGATGAAGTGTGATTTTTACAGTTTACATGGCAATAATTCATATGAGGGTCATGGCCTGTCACATGACAACGCCTGACCCCACATAGCATGATATGAGTGTAAGAATCACACTCTTTCTTAGGGTCAGCAGCTCCATGACACAGACCCCTGTGTTCAACCCACCACCCACAAAGTGGGGGAAATATGTTGTTTTTCTTTTTTAAAATTTTTCTTTTTTTTTGCCAGCTCCCTGAATTACTTTCAGGTAGTTCTGCACATTTCTACTTTTTCATTTAATTAGGTGCAAACACTCTGTATAAATAAAATAAAAAGTTCCCTGCAGCTAGTAGACTGTTGCAGACTGCCAGACACTGAAAAATGTTTGTCTGTGTTGCCATTGCCTAATAATTCACATTTTATAAACAAAGAAATCTTTCTCTCCTGCTTTTTTCTCTCACGTTTCCAGTTAGCTTTTAGGGGTTAGAAGCTTGGATACAGCTGCAGAATAAGTTTGGATCCCAGTATACAGTAGGTGTACTATCCATGACAAACAATAGGTGTACAGTACTACCAAGGTTCCCTGCCTGCCTCAGTCACACAGACTCCATATCCTTTAGGAGATGTCATTGCAGTGCTTATATGTAAATTAGGTACTTCAGGTCCTTTTACATGGTCCTTGGGAAGTCAAGCCTTAATTCTTTATGTCCTTTTTCTAGCAGGGGCACAAGGCATAGACTTCCCCCATTATAATGATATGATACTATGAAAATATCTATAGAGAACTTATGTTGATTTATTAAGAGCGTATCAGAATGGTGTGTAATGTTGGTTATCTCTGTTTTGATGTGAAGTGAGAGAGTCTGGAGAGGCTGTGCAAGCTTACAAGTTGATGTGCTTCTAAGCTACAGAACCCAAATCCTCTTGGTTTCCACAGTCCCCCAGTATCTACAGAGAGACATTGTCAACATGTCTGGCTCATAGGAAACCAGTTATTTGGTTGCATTTATATATAGATCAACAGGAATCTGAGAGTTTGGAAATGGTAACTCATACCTGGGCATGGATCACCGCAAATAGTTACTGTTTTCCTCTAGTGCTGTAATTCTGTGTAGATGATGCAGCCCAGTCTAGGGCACTGAGCAAGCTGTATGCCTCAGTTTTTCCTGCATTTAGGTCCTTTCTATTTCAGCTCAAGACAGGACTTCAGAACTTCCAAACTGTATTATAAATTCTAATAATCATGCTGGTTAGAGCACTTTAGTCACCACCTTGCTCATATATTAATCTGCAATGCTTTCTTAAAAATAAAGTAGTGAAAATTTAGGATGATAAGTAAAGCTAAAGCCTATATCCCATTTAAATTCAGTTCTTCAAGTTAAATTATGCTGACTGCCAGCATCTGAAGCTATTGCCTTATGCAGACAATCAGGTTTAACAGAAGCTCATGCTTTAGTGAAGGAAGAGAACAGAACCTTTTTCTGAACAGAAACTTTATTTCTATTGTGCTTTATTCTGATATGAAAAGTGACCATTCTTATGACTTTCCAGCATTCTTCAAAGACCATTTATTTCTATTGTGCTTTATTCTGATATGAAAAGTGACCATTCTTATGACTTTCCAGCATTCTTCAAAGACCAGTTTCTTAGTCATCCAGAGAACTTTAACAAATCTCCCAACATCTGCTCAGCTTGTCTTGAAACAGCAAATGTTTCGGAGTGTCTACTCGCTTGAGACCTCAGGACCCTAATCTTTATTTTGCAAAGGCTCAAGATCATGTGTTAGAATTTGCAGAACTGGAGCAATGTAAATTTTCTGTGGCAGAAAGTAAATATTCCTAGTAGTAGATATGAAGAGACCAAATGCAATAATATCTAATATGTAAATACATATGTTGCTGTTTGCAAATGTGTCACTTTTATTTCTTTTAGGTATTTTATTTAATCTTAAAAATACACTCCAACTTGAATGACATATTCCAGACATAAATGTGCACAGATCCTACTCAAGTTGTAGGTGTTCAAATCTTTGTTGTGTGCTTCACCTCACACAAGTGTCTTGTGTGTGTGCATTCATATGTGTATGTACATGCTATATAACCCAGTGCCTTCCTGTGTCTTACTCACTGCATAAAAGTTTTCACACAATGAAGCACTGTTTTAAAAAATATCCCCATTGGCACCTTCACTGCTCCCAAGGCAGGCACGATCTATCAGTGGTGTAAAGCTGCAGGCACAATTAATCTTTTGTAATCTGTCATAATACATTGTATTTTATACACTGAATAGTCTGACTGATGCGTTACTTTAATGCCATGAATGCCAGAGGTTCTGAGCAAAATATTATATCTGTTTCTAAGTATCTTAACTTCCAGATCTCATTTTGAGACTTTGGTTCCAAGAAGGATTTGATTCTAAAAGCAGGATTTTTTTTTGATTATTGTTGATTTCAATGCAAAACCGTGCGTATCTTTTAAGTATAAAACCTACTCTGCTGAGCTTTATAAAAATCTTCCAAAATACACTAAGACCAGGAATTTTTTGCTGATAGAAATATAAGACTGGAAGGACAAATGTTTGGCAGTGAAATACTTACCTTCCAGGAATTAATAACTGGTAAATATCCTTACCTTTCCACACTTTACAGACTTACTTTACAGTTGAGATTGGATGGCAGGAAGAAGCCAGGTCATTCTATGAACTGCTCATGCCTTCAAAAAGGAATGGATCTTGTGGTCTTGTGGTAATTCTTTAAAATCAGTAAGATGTTCTACTCAAGAATACAAGCTGAGATTTTCCAAGACAGGAGCCAGAGTGGCAACACGCCTTTACATATATCAACACAAGGAAATGAGCCAATTATAGCAAAACTAACCCAACAGACCTTCGGAATTTTAGATGGAAATCCGGAAGATATTGCCCTTTCCTCCTCCTGCTTTGACCAAACTCATGAGGACAGCATGATATGATGGCCAATAAAGTCATCATCCCTATGACAAGTGTCAGGGAAACCTGGAGCAATTGCTGTGGTCATGTTAGGTCCCTGTTAAAGTCTGTCAGTCTTGCTGTAATTACTTACTCAGTTTCATGGAATCTCTTTGCTGTCTCACTAGAAGTGTCCACCGCTTTTTAAAATAGGGGTAGAACTATTGGTGTATCAGAGGATTAAAACTGCATTTATGCCATTAGCTACATTGCTAGTAAAAGAAACATAAACTCAAGGCATATTACAATTTTCTGTTTCCCTTTCTGTCATTTTTGTATGTTCATTCCTGTTATACAGAGCATGGAGTTTCTGTTGAAATTAAATGCACTTTTGTAGTTTTGTTATGCCAACTATCCTATGTTGAGGATGAAGTGAGAAAGAAACTTCACATCCTACTAATTTTGGAGGCAATCCTTACGAGTAAGGCTGGCAAGACAATACAAAAAAAAAAAAACCAAACCTGCTGCCCTTCCCATTCTCCGAATAAACAGAAAATTCGAAGCTACCTAAAAGCTATTGGCAAGTTTTCAGCATGTGCATTCATATGCCTGCTATGGCTATACAGAAGAGGAAGAAGGCAACAATTCTTTTAAAGTCAGCAGGATGGGAGCATCATCTTCCCAAATGTAGGTATTTTAAAAACTTCTACTGCTGTGGTGTTGCTTGCTTCCTTGAATTTCTTATGCAGGGGTTCCTGAGCTTGTGAGATTTTTGTGAGACTGAAACCAACACTGCACAAGTCTGTCATTCTCAGTTTGTCATTCAGACCATGCCTGTAGCTGCCTACCAGCACATTGTCTTGTAGGACACCAGGGCTTCTGGCAGAGAGAAGGGTCATCTCCTTCTTCCTGCTCCTGGATCATAGTTTCTTGCCAGACTGAACATTTCAGCCCAGCTTCAAATTTCTAAGGGAAAAAATTTTAAGAAGCTGAAATAAAAGCAAAATAGGATGGGAATATGAAAACAACATTTCTGAGCCCTGCAGAGTTCCAACAGCAACACAAAACTATTCCGTTTATATATTTAGCTAAATAAATCCTGGCATCACCATTAGTACGTTTCCTTTCATTGTGGGGGTTTCTTTTGACTCGTGTTGGGACAAATATAAGACAAATGAGAATGAGGGACAGATGTCAGTTCTGTAAGTGCTAGTGGGAACTGGAAACTCCCTTCATCAGCTGCTTTCAGTGTTTAACCTGACCAAGACCATTCATCTGGACCAGGAGTGCTGACAGAGACCCGCTGATGGATCCCCACTTCAGCCTTCAGTTCCTCATGCCCATGCTGAAGCTGGAATCTGAAACAGCAGGATTAATCCATCCCAGTGCTGCTCTTCGGGAAGGCTTGGTCGCCGGGGTCCCGTGCCTTTTTGGCGCTTCTCAGCCCTCACCTGAGCACCATCACTCTTGCTGAGGCAGCCACTGACCTCAGCAAGGCACGGCTGCCTGATTCTGTGCTGTGGAGAGGAAAACACTCCTCACGCCTGCACCCACATCCCTCTGGAGATGCACAGCTGAGCCCACAAACTCACCGTGTACCAGCACCAGCTATGTAGCTGCCCTTCTCCTCTCACACAGGGATTACTGCTGCTCGTCGCTTATCCTTTCCCCCCTTCTCTCTCCCTCCTGGCTTTTGCATTTCTTCCACCGTGATCCATTAGGTATTTACCGGCAGGATAATGTGACTTTTCACACCGGTTCTCTGTGTGCTCTGCCCTGCAGACCGGGCTGGATAAAGCCTCTCCCCAGCCCCAGCTGGCTGGACATCTCCCCCCACCTTCCCCTCCCCTTCACACTAGCCAAGCCAAGGATTCCTCTCTCCCTCCCTCCTTCTTTTTCCACCCCTCCCGCCTTCAGTGCAAACCCAAGACGCAGGATCCTGCCGAAGGAAAGCGCTCCTTGAAATCATCACCGCAGACCCCGCTGCGAAAGTGCAGAGGAGGAGAGAGAAAAAGCCTCGGCAGCCAACCTCCTGCAGCTGAGGGCTGTGCAAGCAGGGCAATGGCTCCAGGCTCTCAGAGCTTCTCTCTCACCTTTCTCCAGGGCGTGGGATCTGTCTTCTTCATACTTCAGATCATCTCTGTTAAGGCTGATGGTGAGTCTCCCATTCAGTTTGGGCTGGGTTACTATGGCTGGAGTGAGAGCTGTATGTTGAAATATGTTACTGCAAAAAAACCAAAAAAAAATTTTTTTTTTTTTTTTTTTTTTTTTTTTTTTTTTTTTTTAATAAGAAGCTTAAATACACGCCCCAGTTTGCATTAGGAAACTTCTGATTCAGAGCTTTTTGAGACTTTGCAAATATCCTGGGGTTAAGCAGAGAAAGGAAGTAAGATCCCAGAAGGCTAAGATTATTTTATTACAACAAAATGACAGGATAGTGAACTTTTCCAGAGGAAATAAGAAAAATGAAACAAAGCCAGAACACAACTAAGAAGACTCAGCTATATTTTAGGAGACCTCCTATAATTCAAAGTACCTTTTCTCCAAAGAACTTTCCCATCTCCCCACTTCAGATGTGTCACTTTACACAGGCAAGTACTTGAGGAAGGGAATCCAAGAAGTGAAGAACTTTGATAACCTCTTCTGTTCAGTGCCACACACACTGAAAATGACTGCTCACCTTTCTGCACATGAGCTTCGTCTGCGCTTCACTGCTGAGGGATGTGATCAGGACACGGATTTGGCTGAAGCACCAGCTACCAGTTACTCTGAAATGGGACTTTTTACTCTCTGATGGTGATCCTGAATAGCTGCATCCCTTGAAAGTTTCCATTAGCCTGATGCCCTTTTAATGATTCAGCTTGTGATAATGATGACCAATTTGTCTAAACCCAAACACAACTGACTTTTGAAACAACTGTGTCTTTTCCTGGGACAGCAATGCTGAATGGTCACATTTTTCCACTTTCACAGCTGCGATAGATTTATGCTCAATCTCAGGACTTTTTTATTTCAGTACCCTAATCCTTTACCATTGATGTTTGCTGCATTATTTCAGAGAATAGACCTTTAATATTATAGGGCAATAAAAATCTCTTCTTGTTTGTTCTGAGTATTTTTCTTGTTTAACTTAAATTTTGTTTCAGTTGATGACAAAGAATGGCAAAGAAATGGGAGAAAATTAATCTTGCCTGTATGTCTCTTCTGCTCCAAATAGAATGCATAAATGTATACCATTTATACAACAGAACCCTGTCATGTAAAGTTTAAGAGAGTTACATTTCATTAAGCATAAAGAAAAAGAAATGCGTCTGAAAACTGCATTATGTTGCAGTAGGCAAAACTGTGGCTCTGTTTTTAGGATGTACTCCTTCCCTAGCAAAATGCCTTTGAAATGAAAAGTGGTGGGAAAAGCATATCCATGAAAAAGGTTTCTTCACAGAACCTAAGGACGCAGTGCAGGAATAATAATTTCCCTTGCTGAGAATTCTTCACCTGAAGATCCCCTTGGTTTTTCAGGAGCGCATTCCAATTTTTATTATTACCATGAAATTAACTATACTAAATTCTTGATTCCTAAACAGGCATCTTCTAAGAGAAAGGAAAAAAAAATGTTGGAGATCATTTTAAAGCAGAGGTCATGAAAGACTTTGTCATTCAACAGTTTGTCAAATTTACTTCACATGAGGTAAAATATTTATAGAATGAAAGGGCAGAATATCTGAAGTACTTTACAGTTGTCAAGCATTATTATAATACTGTGGTTTACAGTTTTATTTAAATTCTAAGTAACATTGTGAAAGATGTATGTCTGCTACTTACTTGATCTTCAGTGAGTTCTCCTAATATTAATATTCAAGGAAACTACTATAACACTGCCCTAGAAGCCATCTAGGTTAAAGCAGAAGAAAACACAGTATGTCAGCTTTAAAATTTACCGCTATGCATTTAAGGATATCTGAGAGTATAAAACAGGATTAATACTTTCTTTTATATCAGATTCTGGCCTGGTCCAGTCAGAAAACACCTTTTCATTTTTTTAAGGTGTGTGTGAAAAAAAATTGTGCTAGTCTCTAATACATGTAAATGTCACTTAAGTGTCAATGGACCATTCTGAATGACACATACGTGTTTGTGTATTTGTTATTTTTAACTGAAGGTATCTGACTGTTCTGCAAACTGCTAAAGGGATTTTGAATATGTCTTGTAAAAAACCTGTGAAATTCAGACTGGCCCCTGTTGCAGTCAAACCTCTGAAACTTGTTGCAATATATTTCCCTAAGGAAGACTTTCACTTTATTATCTCACACAAAAATAATGACAGAGAGTAGGCAATAAAACTAATGGCTGTCGAGGTCTGGTGAAGGTGTAAAGCTTCAGAGCTTAATTGATCTCTTTTGACCATTATTTACCATGGCACATTACTGTAGCACAAGTAGTCTGCAGAAATAACCAGGCAAATGCAGAAATAAAATATAGCTTTGTTTTGCTTTGCAGCCTTTTTTCCCAACTGAAATGTGCTTGCTCAAAGCTGTTCAGGTCCAGGTCAGAAGGACAGAAGGCTCCCCAAGGGCTTGTTCATGCTCTGAGGTACCACAGTGTCCACTGCCAGTGCAGTTACTGGGGAATAATATGTGTTATTGTGGCAGTTCTCAATTGTATCAGTGCAAATTCAGGGGGTTTAAATTGTTTTCCATTTGCACTGGAATAGGAGAACAAGGATGCGACTTCCTGAATCCTCCACAGGAGTTGCCTCCACTTTTTTTGCCTCCCTCTTTTGCCTTTTCAAGGCTCCTAAAATATCCACAGGTAAACCATAGTTTGCTGCAGAGTACTTGCTCTGAGACAGAGCATGTCAGGAGAGGGTGATGGCGATTCATTTATTGAGATGCTCCTGAAATTAAAAATGTGCTAATTTCAAAGCTTTACTAATTGTGCCAAACTGGAGCTGGTCTGTTGGCTAAATTTGGATTACATTAGACCCTATTGGTCAAGCCAGTCATCAGCAATGACCATGTACAGTGACTGCACAGGTTGCAAGTGAAAGGATCCGGAGTCCAGGAAGCTGGGCACAAATAGGTGAGGATCTGAGACACATACCTCTAACTAGAAACCGATGGCATCCAAAGTAGGAAAACCCCCCCTACTAGAGTATTAAATTTGGCTTGTTTTGCATCCTTTTTTTAAGTAAAGGAAAAAAAATGTATGTTTTTTTCTCTTCTCTCTCTAGACTCTCACATTTCAGTAGCAGATGTCTACACATTTCATTCTCCTGCTCGCAAAGGAACACACATTCTTGCGTAAACAATTCCAGCTATTTGATCCTAAAGTGTCCAGTAAAATCAAAATTTAGGCTCAAGCTGGGTTTAGCTGATGGGGAACCCAAAGGTGACACCTCGATTTTGCTATTTTTCTGATGATGTAATATTTTTTGAATTGAATAAACATCATTCAGTGTTGTTTCTCACAGAAATAAACTCCACATTTGTGAACACTAGGTATAACTGGTAATTAGCCAAATCTCTGTAGAGTTAGTGGATCTTCTACCTTTACACTTACAATCAAGTTACATTGTTACACACATCCATAGAAATGAAAATTAAATTTCTCTTGAAATTTCCTTCTTTTCCTCTGCTCTCTTTTACCTCAATTTGAAATTTTTAACATTCAAGTAAAAATGTATTTGACTCCACATTTACACATCTTTCACCAAACTTGTTTTGTTGAAACTGATTTATTTTTATTATTTGAAATAGGAAGTGTAATGTCATGAGATCAGCACACTGGGTATGCCTTTTAAAGTGCTTTCATTATATATTTTTTTAAGGCACGTTCTTGCTTTAAAGCATATTTGACTATGCAATTTTATGTTCCTTCTTCAAGCATAATGCAAATCCTGATGAAGACATGGATAAATTTGAACTCATTTCAGTGGGCTTTGAGCTATGCACCTCAGAAGAACTTCTCATTGTATCTGTTACTGCAAAAGAATAAATCAGCCAAACTCTTTTCTTGATAACCAATAGAATTCTGTTAAACCCACCGATCTTCCTTAAAATAGGAAGAAACAGCTTTTGGACTGGTTTTATTTTTGAAGAACTCCTTTTATGCACTTCCATATATCTGGTTGTAGATGTCTGTTAAGTCTTTAAAGCTTTATGAGGATCAGTTGTTAGAAGCTGAGTTTAGCAAAATTTGGAGTTTGAAATAAGGTGGAGTAAGAGTAATGAACCATTGGAACAGTTTACTCTGAAGTGTGCTGTAAATTCTCCATTACTTGGAGGCACTGAATGCATGTTGAAAAGACATGCTCTAGTTCAACCATGAATTTTTGGACTTGATGGTGGGATTACAAGGGGAAATCTACAGTCTAGTTAGGCAGGAATTGAACAAGGTGTTAATAATGATTCCTAGAAGCCCTGAGATCTATGTGTCTGTGGGTGTGTTTTCAATCAGAATACAGTGGGGTACTCTTAAGTAAAATCTATATTAATCTATTGCAAAAAATAACTAAAACATTATCAATATATCAAAATATAATCAATGTTCTGCAATAATAGTGAATAGATAATGGCAGAAGCTAGCAATCTAATAGAGGTTAGTTATTTTATAGGGAATCTCTTTTTTTTTCAAGCATGAATTTTTCATGTGAACTCTGAATCTCGCTGACAAGTAGCGGTTGGAAGAATGATGTCTTATTATTTATGCCTCATCATTGAAGTTAAAAGCTGCACCACTTGTTTCAAATGGGAATCTAAAAGAACCTTACTGTGACAAGGATCTTTTTCATTCTGAACCTGCTAGACTCAACGTGTTCAGTAAACATCCTGAGAAACACTACTTTGCGTGGATTTTTAGTTTGATCTTGAAATAAAAGGGACTTGCTTTGCTTAGAGAAGCTTCAGAAAAGTGTCTGGAGTTTTGGTAACAAATTTCTGCCCCTCCTGTGGAGGTGGAAGAGTTATGGGAAACAAATGTTACAGGGCAGAAATGAAGTGACAGAGCTGAGAGGGAGGCACCATGGCTGCTCAAAGGTACCACAACCAAAGGCATACTACGTCCCTCATGGAGACATCATCCTTCATCCTATGTCTTATGGAAATACAGAAGAGTCTCGTATTTAAAACACAATGACAACACATCTCTTGATACTGTCTCAGAGATTAGGCTGACTTCAACCACCCCAGTACAAAAAAATGACTACTATGTCATCAAGTATGCAAGACAATCCATTTTTAAGAAACATTTCATTACAAGTAGGACTGATAAAAATATTACAAATAATTACCCAGGACCCTTGGATTCCCTTAGACTGAAAATGATACCACTTTTGAGATTAAAAGCGATAAAAATTCAATACATCAATATCTTGCGTATGATAGCCATGATGCTGTAAGATGCAGAATTCAGTGTTGCAGTCTTCTTTGTTTAAGGGGATTTTCTGTTTTCACATGCTTTTGTTTTGTTCCTGTTACCATGCTAGCATGTCTCCTGTATTTTTTTCCTGTCAATGCCTCTCAGTAATGTGACACATCTCAGGATATTGAGGATCTAGCTATTCCATTGCATCTGATAAGTGAACCTTTCTTGCAATTATATTTTCTAAGTAAAAATTTGACAAAACCAGAGGGCACATTTTGAAAACTGGGCAGATATCCAAAGAGCTTCTAAAACTTTGAAGAAAATTCATAGGTTGGTCTGGTACACAGGTTGGCCTTCCTTACCCACTTCTAACCAAATTCTGGCTAACCAGAATTTCCTGTAAAGCAGTTCGCTGTAACTTCCCAATCAGTAAGTCTTTCCTAGCTCACCTTATAATTCACTTGTTTATATAATTTGATCATCCCAGATACCTTTTCAAAGGACAGGACTCTGTTTTGACAGCATCTTCATAGGTCCTAGTAAAAAGTTGGTGTATCTTAAGTACTAGCACACAACATAACAGTAGTCAAGGGAAGCAGTCTCAGCCTCTGTCTTGGATAGGCTAAATTCCTTTAAAAATGTAACTCTTGCTTACTGGTGAAACAACTAAATCATTAACTAATTACACCTAGATGGAACTCAAAGCTTGATGATTTTCCTTTCTTTAAGGCTTCTAACTGAAATACTAATAACCAGAAGATGAGGGTTATGCCATGTCAGAATAACATTCATGATTTAAGTTAGATGTTATGCAAATTTACCCTATAAATCTTTGATGATGCACCTCAATCCCGACAGTCAAATGGTGAAATATAGAATGTGGACAAGACTTTAGTTGGGACAAAGCCTTTTAAAGTATTACAATTAATCTGTTTTCCTTTAGGAGCTAAAGTTGTTTTGCAGCTTAAGAAGGGTTGTTCAAAACCATCATCTCTCTGTTTACACTGTCTCTCTCCCTAGGCCACACATGCTTCATTGTCTGTCGAGGCTTTGGATACAGGAGCTACATTAGTGCCATGTGCCTTATTTGAGACATGTTGTAAAGAATCCTGATGTTTGTGTACTCAGGGATGTAGAGGCTTGCTGCTTTCACTACTTTGTGTAGAGCCTCCAGTTCTAATTACAGTTAATGGTATTGATTACAGTGGAAAATCCAAAAATGATGCAATCTAATGGCTATCACACTGACCAGTGTTTCTGGTTGTATCCCTTGGTCAGCTACTGTTAAATGCCTTAGGAAAATCACTCTGGATACTCTGAATTTCTGTTCCTTCTCTTAGCTGCTTGTCCTGATTATTTAAATTGCCATTTTCCCAAGTCAGGATGACTTCTTGCTGTGCACGTGTAGAATTCCCAGCAAAGTAGGAGTCTTTATTGGGATTAATCTGTCCTTTCTAGCCAATGTAAACACAAGTGACATGTTAACTTGAGAGAACTTCACATTTTTTGACGCAAGAACTGTGATTCATCCAGTGAGTTTAGTTGTGCACAGGTGAGAACAGAAAGGTGTCGGGGGCAGACCTACCCTGTATAAATTCCCTGTTTTTTTAGGATTAGAATCAGATTTACCAAATTGTTGAAACAGTATGTGGTGAGAGTGGCACTTGGTACAGAACCAGGCTGAATCAATCTGAAAGATTCCCAATGCTGCTCAACATGTCCTATGAGTGTGAAGCTGGCTATGTGGTGAACACCTGCTATAAGATGGAAGTCATGCATTTATACAACCATTATCACTAATCTACTCTGGAAATAAGACATAAATAAGTGTTTCCAGGCATTTACTGAACGAGAAGTGCTTAAAAATTTTCTTCCTGCAACTACAAGCAATCTCAGACTGTACCTTTGTAAGCTAGAATGTATTCTGAGGAATGTGATCATCAGAAAAAAAGATAGTTATGGTAACTTTAATGTCAGCTGCAAACTGTCTCATTGTTTATTTATTTTTCTGGAGCACCCAGCTAATATGTTTATTCCACAACCCAGTAACTTCTCAAGCTTCATTGCCAAAACCCTAATTGACCTGTTCCCAGTTGCCAAAACCTCTAACTTTCACCCTTTCAGCTTTCCCAGTATTAGATAAATTAAAGCAAAATAAACTGAACTGAAAATAAAAATATCACAAAAAAATGTTATGCTAAATATGTTCTCATGCTCATTCAAAAAAAAAAAATAAATAAAAAGCCTTCCATTAATAAAAAAATCTGTCTGTCTTTCCAAAAAGACATGATAATGAAGCAGTCTATATTTAGACACAAGCTGTCATAGAATGACATAATTTTGATTTTAGGGAATAAGTATTAATCTATTTCTGACATGGAATACAGGGCTGCAATACTGGCTTTTAAGGCATGTGCTTACTTTATAGATGTAGTTGTTATAGAGTAACTGTAAAATGTTTAGCAGTGGATTTTTCTGGTGTTATTAGCCTACAGGAGGTGTTATTTGTGACTTTGACTTTATATGTGCACATGAGAGAGTATCACGCTTTCTCTCCTCAGATCTCAAGCACAGACCTACAGAGGCAAGACAAAGCTTCTCTTCTAAGTTAGGAATGACTAATGGCTTAGCCATTCTTGCTTTTCTGGTAGTGGACAAAACTAAATTAAAAGATTAAAACTAAAAGAAAGCTAACACAAGGATATTTACAGTCTTGATTAAATTAGGCTTTCAAAAAAAAAAAAGGTGGGCCATTGAAATAAACTTAGTAAAAGCATGAAGGCTTTATTTGGTGATAATTTGCAATATTTCTGTTGAATATGTGTTGAGCACAATTCCATGATGGATGACATGTCCTTTCTTGGTGTTGCAGGGAAAGTGTTTGCACTCGAGTCCAAGAACAACTCTCAGGGTCTGGATTTAGCCGAAGCTGAGAAAGCTTGTGTTGACCTGAGTGCTCGCTTAGCAACTGCAGAAGAACTGAAAAGGGCTGTTCTGGACTGTTCTTTTGTTGGCTGCACCACAGGATGGCTCGCCAGCGGCTCTGCTGGGTAAGGACAACAGCATAACACTTTCTGGGAAGTATGAGTGATGGTTGTCAAGAAAGTTTTCCACCTTGACTAAGATTTGCTGAAAAACACAATTCAAGCACCATGACATAAAGCTAAATTTGCCACTTTCCCTCAAGAATTAGTTTATTACAGCTAATATTGCAGGTATACAATTATTCATCAGTCTCACATTTCAATTTCACAGATTTGACACAATTTCCTCTCCTTTCCTGCTGAATTACATCATTGTGGCTCCTGTTCCCCTGGCCTCTCGTGGGGTGCTGAGCCCTAAAGAGCCCCACAGGCTGAGGATACGGTGCTGGAGTTGGTGTCAGTGCTCCCACTGACTCTGTTTTTCTCTGTTATTCTTTCAGAAGCTCAGCAAACTAAACTTCTCATGGGAACCACATGTCTGTCTAAGGTATCCATGCATGGCTGAACAGATGATAGGCATGTTCAAAAGGGCACAGATGCACTTAGATATGATAACCCACATCTGGTAGAGAGTTTGTTGAGAAAGCTCACCAGGGAACTGATATTGTCCTTCAATACATTTGAGGTGCTCAAATTTAGCACTAGGCTGTTTTCCCTTGTGTGAAACATTGTTGCCTCTGTAGAGACTCATTTAAATCAGGAATGTAAATGGAGGCATTGAGAGAATGTCTGATGTCACTGAAGCTGGGACCATACATAAATTGCCCAGAAGAAGTGTATCAAAACTATTTCCAATGTTCAACAGTGATAAAGTTTTGTTTTATGAAAAAAATGTTTCCAAACTTCAGCATATTATTAGATTTTGTGACAGCTACCAGTTTTTTAAGTAAGCATTGGTGTTTCTGTATTTTTAGTAATAAAATTTCCAAAGGACAGAAAATTACTGCTCTTAATGAAATTTCATATTTCAAAGAAATTTCAAGGAAAAGCAACCATTTTCTCTGATTATATTTCTTCCCAGGTAAAAAAAAAAAATGTTTGAATTTTTTTTGTATTTACTTTTGGTCATTAAAAAAAAAATCTAAAAAAATCCAGAAAAGTCTCAGGATAAAAGACAGTGACCTAAACCCTAAAAATCTTTCCCCCAAGACAATTTCTGAGATGTCTTGTAGGCTGACAAACCAGGAAAACTATGTATCTGTAGGAAGTCCATGGCAAAGTTGTTGTACAAGTTCTTTTATACAACCTCAGTATTCTGGAAGTAAGGAATGATGATGTGTAGGAAAAGAAATCATTGTTTTTTTTATCTAAGGAATACCACTAGTTAGTCCAATGAGATCCTCAATTAATTGCTGCGGGCACTGGATCTTGACTATTAATAGATCAGCTGTGGACTGAATATCTTCAATATCAAATTGTGTATGGTGATAAAAACACATCGTAAGAATAGGAGGGAAATGTAGACTTTTCAGCCCTTCCAACTTGCTGTACTCCATTCCTCCAGTAAACCTGTCCTTAGTATGGAAGTCTCTGAACTATTTATCAGAAATAACATTGTGGGGGGCACATCAGCACACCATTGCTGTGTAGTCACCAGATCTGACCTTCACTGGAAAGCTTCACCAGAGAGAAAAGTTCTTCAGAGCTGGAATTTTATACTCTGGGGCTATTTTACCCATGGCTGGGCAAGCACCAGAAAGTATGTTACTTGGTTCGTTGAACTGGATATTTTTGGCTCTGGGGAAAAATAGGGATTGTGTACTGCCTAAAAAGGCTAATCTGTTTTAACTGTAAGTTAATGCACCTCTGGAGAAAGAACTGAGCAGTCAAGTGCAAAGTGTGCAAATGGGACAAAGTTGTTTAAGTTGAATAAGTTTAGCTTCAATATAGAAATTTGCAGAGAAATTTAGAGGAAAGGGTAAAATGATGCCAAAAGGAGTTCAATGATAATTCATGCAGGAGGAACATGCAATCTGCTTGAAAATATCTTTACAGAGTTCTGGTTTACCTCTGTCAGGCCAGGAAAGATATGAAGACATGGCTGTGGACAGCACAAAGAAAACCTCTGTCAGACTGCAGCTGTAGTAAAAACAGACAAACAAATAAACATTCAAGCAAACAAAGAAGTTGCTAAAGTGTTTATGGAATGGGATGAAGAATATGAAAAAAAATATATACACGTAGGTCAGTGTAATAGGCTCCTTTGGAACACTATATGTACTGTTACTGGATCTTGGGAAAGGTACTAAAAGTGTCTCAAAAAAGGGCTCAGAAATTATTAAAGTAGTGGAAAATCTATTAACAAGGGACTCCAATTATTTTACTAAATTATTTTTTTATTTTTAAAATTTTACATAATAAATTTAAAAAATAAATTTAAATAAATAAATTTAAATAAATAAATTTTAAAATAAAACTTTATTTTAAAAATTGCCAATTCAATACTTTGGGCATTTACTTGATAACTGGAAACATGAAAGGAGGGGTAAAGGACAGCTGATATACAAAAAAATCCACACACAGAAATCTCCACATCAGCTGATATAACCCAGAGAAGGGAAAGCAGGCTTCACAGCATGCCCACAAGTTAGAGAAGTATGGAAAATTATTTCCAAAATAAAGTACTCTTTGCTGGGCACACCTTGTGTATTTATCTTGATGAACTTCCACATCTTTGAATGACGTCCCCACAGCTGCCTGGTCCAAAATTATTCAGGCCTTTATAAGTTGGATCTAAAACCTTGAAATCCTCCCAGCAGCTGACTGGTGTCCAATGCAGATCACAGAGCTTTAGTCGAATACTCTCCCATATCCTCTTGGACTGTGTGCATCAGAAAGGAGATGAATAGAAGAGAGCATGATAAAAGATGTTCCTCATTTCAGGAAGAATGAAGTTTGGTTTATTTATTCGGTGCCTGGAAGGTATCCCAATCTTTCCCCTGAGGAAAAATGGATTAGACATTGGCAGTAGAAGTAAACACAAACAAATGATGTGATTGAAGTCTTTACAGTGTTGCAGATTTTCTGACATGTTTCAGCTCTCCTTTCATCGCTTAGACTTAAAACTGAACAGGAGCTATAGCAGACATGTAAGGAGTTTTTCACTGCTAACTTCATTCTCCAGGTTTTGCACAAATCTGTTATTTGTTCACTTCTGATACCTATTTATGGTTTTAGTGAGTAATTACAATCCCATTCCTGGTAAATATATCCATCACTGTTAATTATTTTGTCTTTATTATTATTTTTACAGCCAAATCATAGCCTGGAAACCTGTGGGAGTTTCTCCTGTTATGGCAGAGGCACATCACTGAGTCAGTGCGAGCATGTTTGTACTGCCTCCTCTCTGGGCTATACCTCTTCTTTGGGCAAAGAGGAGCATTTGGACTAAAGAGCCAGCCCAGTCTGAGTGACTGTCAAATTTCTGATGACTCTCATGTAAATGCAGATCACCTATATTTAAATATATCTACTTCAGTCCTTGAAAACTAGGCTAGCCCAAGCAGCAGGTCTTGACAAATATGATTCATTTCAACTGATGCAGAATGGAAATTGCTTAAACAAATAGATCCCTGCCAGCAAATCCAAAGACACAATAAACTGGGTGGTTTTGTGGTTTGAGCAGCCTGAGACAGAACTTCTTTCACAGGAATAAGGGGATGTTCTTGTCTTGCCTTTGCAGTTGTTCAGTCCAACCCAATTCAGGGTTCAAGGCTCTTCACACAGACAAGTCCCTGGCAGTCCAGGGGCTTGGGAACTTTTTGAGAGGAGCCACTGACAAGTAGGTAGGGATAACTTCTCCCAGCAAGCCAGAAGTAAGCCATTTACAAGTCAGTCCTGACATGTGTAACTTATAAAGCATTACACATTGTTGCATTTCAGGAAATGAAATGTCGTTAGGCAAGTCTCATTTGTCAGATGAGCCCTAATAGCTATTTATACTAAAAATGACACTCTTATGACTTACTTGCATGTCAGACAAGTGAGTCAGTAAAACCATCAAGTGATCTGCCAGAATGTAAATGAAAAAAAGGTGGCAGAGTTCTCTGAAAAGCTCTCACTGCTATCTTTTGAATTCAGATGTCATGCTGGAAAACTTTGTGTCGAGTCTTCCAGCACTGGGCAGCACATCATGTAGGGTCTTGCCTTCTTTACTGGGGTATTTGAAATTTGGGAAGTAAACAAGACACAATTGGTCTTAGTATCAACCTTGTGCACAGCACATTAGAAAACAGCTGTTTATTTTAGAAATTGTTAAACATCCTCAACACCTTGTATTAATATCCCCTTAGCAAATTTACTAATTTCCAGTACTTTTGTAAGATGAAAAAGCTGAAGCTGTTCTATTCCCTATCCTGTTCCTTATTTCTCTACAAAGGAATGGAGCTGTGTATCTTTTCTATAACAGCTTTGAAGTGCTGCATGGAATTTTTCTTCAATGACAGACCTCCTGCAGGGCTGTCAACCTGCTCCTTTGAGTGAAATTGCCCTGGGCTGGCTCCTACCCAGTCCCTGGAGGATTTATCCCAGAGGGAATAAGTCTGGAGTGAGCAAGCAGAGTCAGCTAGAATAAGCTCTGCAGTGAGAGTCAGAAGACAGGAGCTCTTTTCTCAGCTCACCACAGACCAGATGTTTGCTGCTAGGAAAATTACTCTGTGTCTATTTTTCCTTTGTTAGCTCTTTGGGTTTTGCACTGGCTGCTTTTGAATGCTTCTACAGTGTCAAACACAACAGGGCCCTCACTGCAGATGACACCAGTGGGAAATGTAATAATAAGACTCAAATATGGCATTTCACAAGACTACCTACTTCTTTTTCTGCCTGGGAGTTGCCCAGCACCTGACAGTATGGTACTAAAATCACATTTCCTGGGAAAGAGAAAAGCAATATCCAAGGAATGATATAAAGGGTCAGTTGCTAACCCTTGCAAGTCCTCTCATCTGTATTTGTAAAGCTTTGGGCTTGTGGGTTCATTGAAATTCATCCAGGTGTGCATGCTTAAATAGGCCCCCTTGGTCTTTACAGAGAAGCAGTTCTGGTTATACATCACTTTGGCAAGCCCTTGG